CAAGCATTTTCTTAAGGATTCCACAAGAAGAACGCAGAAGAATCCACTGGTTGGCCACAGTACTGCCCCTTATGAATGTCTGGGGTGAAAATGCCAGTGTGGGGTGCTGTCCCTTCTTCCTGTGTGATCGTGGGCAAATAAACCTCCCTGAGCCTCAGCTTCTTCACCTGGGAAATGGGGATAGTGACAGTACCCACCCTCCAGGGCTGTCCTGAGGACTGAATGAGTGTGTCTGTGTGAACCACCCTGCCCGATCCATAGGAAGTGCTCAGTAAACTTTACCTTCTGTTACCATTCAAGGGCTTTCCCGGCGGCTCAAATGGTAAAGAATCTGCCTGCAATGCAGGAGACCTGGGTTCGACCCCTGGGTCAGGAAGATCTCCTGGAGAAGGAAATATCTACTCCAGTATTCTTGACTGGAAAATTCCATGGACAGAGGAGCCTGGCAGGTTACAGTCCATGGGGTCAGAAAGGGTCGGGCATGACTGAGTGACTAGCACACACACGGGTCAAGAACCTCCAGGGGCCTAGATTTCTGCTCCTGACTGGACCAGCCTGGGCTGGCATTTGTCGATCAGGAGGCTCAGGGTGAAACGGTGGATCCCTGCATAACAGTTGTGTGGCTCGGGAAGTCCCATAGCCTCTTGGAGCCTCAGTTTCCCTCTCTGTAAAATGGGGGTAATGGTAATGCCTCCTTCTCAAGATAGCTGCAAGGATGGCATGAAAATGTACAGGACAAAGAGGCAGTGGTTAGTCTGGGCCTCCCAGGTTGGAAATCCTTGTTTTCCACTTAGTAGCTGGGTGACTGTGGGCAAGTCACCGAAGCTCTCTGTCTTCCCTTTCCTTCTCCATAAACTGGAGATGATCATCGTCCCCACCTTATGTATTGTCATGAGGATTAAATGAGGGAATACATGCAAAGCTCTTAGAAAAGGACATGGCACACAGAAGCCCCAGAAAAGCCCTGTAAGAATTCCCTATTTTTTGTTCAGTGCCCGACACACAGCAAGTCCCCAGTATATGTGGCCACTTATAATAATGGTGGACATGAGGGTCAACATCCCGGACACAAGATATGATTTCCTTACCCTTATGGGAGCAGGAGGAGTTCAGTTGGAGGGCAAGGGGTGTGGTCCATGGGGCAGGAGAATGTCCCAGGCAGTACATCAACCACAAACAGCATGTATTAAGGGTTTTCCCCAGCCAGACTGGGGCTCAGGGTCACTGGCTGGACATTGCAGGGCAATTCCTGCGCTGCAGACCACAGTTCCCATGTGAAAAAGAGCTGCTTCTGCTTTTCCTCTCCCCCAGCCAGCAGCTGGCCCAGAAGGCCCAATTACCAGCCTCTGTGGCCTGAAGTGGGAAGAGCACAGCTGCACCATGTGTAGATATAAATCCAGCATCAGACTGGGTGGGCACGGGAGCCAGGCTGCGGCTGGGTGCCCTCAGGCACTGGTCTACAAGTCCAGTGACGCATTATGTGGGTGGGCAGAGCCCAGGGGCCATGGGCTGGCATTTCCACCACCCCCACCCTTCAGCTGTGTGGTGAGGGCAGGAGATGAAACATAAAATGTATCGTGCGGTCATCTGCTCAGATTTAACCCGCATGCCTGGAAGCTCCCAGAATCCATGGGTGTCCTGTTTCTACCTGGATCACCAAGGCCCACAAGAGTCTGGTACCCAAATATTTACTGGCTGAAATAATCATCTTGTCTGCAAAGTACCTGAAGCCCAGTGCCCGGCACAAAACAGGTGGATAGCATAGTAGATACCAGTTCCCTCTTCCTGACTCTGGGAATGGCCATGGTGCCAGACCTCCAGGGATTCTGACTCCCGCGAACTTTCTAGAACATTGTTTATGGTCCAAGAAGGAGAGAGCGTGAGAAGCTGAATGTAACAGAAACCATGTGATTAAAGCATGCTGTCATCCCAGGTGGCCCTAGTGATAAAGAACCTACCTACCAATGCAGCAGACATAATGGACACAGGTTTGATCTCTGGGTTGGGAAAATCCCTTGCAGTAGGAAATGACAACCCACTCAAGTATTCTTGCGTGGAGAATCCCATGGACGGAGAAGCTTGGTGGGCTATAATCCATAGGGTCGCAAAGAGTTGAACACGACTGAAGCGCCTTGACATGCAAGCATGTCATGCAAACGAACACTTACTGAGCACCCATGTGTCACATGGTGCACAGAAGGGGTGAATAACGACCTATGTACTGCTGACAGAGGATGCCTTCATCCCATCTTGTGGATGAGGAGTTGGAGTTTAGGAGATGAAACAGCTTGCCCAGAGTCACAGAGCTAGTGAGTAGTAGAACCAAGATTCCAACCCAGGACTTCTAGCCTCCAGTGCCTGCCTCCCAGCCTGTCCCCAACCACACAGAAGAGCTGCACATCAGACAGCCTGGGCTCCTTCCTTGATATCTGCAGCCACGTTAGTTCTGAGTGGAACACACCCTCCCCTCTTCCCAGCGCCCCGCCCCTTATCCCTCCCCTGGCCCCAGCTTCCTTCCTGGGCCCCAGTTTAGGGGAACACTAGCTCCACCCACCCCTAAAGCCCTTCAGGGCCTCCCCACGGTCTCAGATCGTTGTGATGCCACAACCAGTTGTTTAGTCGCTCAGTCGTGTCCAACTCCTTGCAACCCCATGGACTGTTGCCCACCAGGCTCCTTTGTCCATGGGATTTCCCAGTACTGGAGTGGGTTGCCATTTCCGTCTCCAGGGGATCTTCCCAATCTAGGGATCGAAGCCATGTCTCCTGCAAGTCTCTTGCACCGCAGGCAGTCTTCACCACTGAGCCACAAGAGACAAGCTGAAAAGATGACGAGGATGAGTGGGTGGACAGAGGACCTGCAGCTGGCTATGCAGAATTTCTCACAGGTGCTGTGTCATGCTGCCTGGCTCCACATTCCTGTGAACTGCTGTCCACACTGGCCTCCATTTCCCTTGGCCACTGGACACACCTAAACAGGCAGCAGCCACACAACCCGGTTCCCTCGCCCCCGCTTCTCACATTGAAGTTAGAGGAGATGGAGAGGAAGTACTTGCGGTTTCTCAGGGCGCCACCTGGAAACACTTCCGCAGGGACACAAAGGGAGCTTCCGCAGGGACACAGGAAGCCCCGGCCCATACCAGAGGCGAGCCCTGGGCGGAAGCTCTGCTGCGGGCCAGCCCAGGGGAATGTCCCGGAGCCTCTGGCTTGCAGAGGAATGTGGAACCAACTTCAACAGGAAGTTCCCACCCGCCAGGAAAGGCGGAGCTCCCTGGGAACGGGTTCGTGGGTGCAGAGAACCTGGGAGCGATCTGGTCCCAGCCCTGAAGAGAACAGCATTCTGAGCTCCTCACCTCAGGAGGTGACCTGCCCAGAGTCCCTGCAGGGAGCTGGACCCAGTTTCCCACAAGCCACTTCTCTAAGAGGCAGGCATCAGATCCTGACACCAGGACGAGAGGCCCCGCGGACCACCCAATGCAGTCCTGCCAAACTCAAAGCTTCAAGGAAACGGAGAGATGAGTTGCCCTTAACACGAGGCTGCCTCCCTTTACAGAACGACAGCTGCCCCAAAGGGCAGGTCCCTTCCCTGGTTTCCTGCAGAGCCCTGGACAATGATCGGGGTCAGGAACAGCATCCAGATCCCACACCTGTAAAACGGGGATTCCAGCCACCTCCTGGGGCTGGAGAACAGAACCCCCAATGGGCAGCTTCTTCTCAATCTGAACCCCCAGCAAGGTAGGCTGTTTCCTGGACCATGTCTGCATCTTCCTCCCTGGGACCTATTGCTTCTCCTCTCCTTTCCCCACCCCAAGGCATCTCCCAAATCAGTTGCCATCTGTGAGCCTGTTGTTAAACACAGGAATCTTTTTGGAAAAATGTCAAGTTTTGGACTTGAAAATCTTGGAATTCTGCTCCCTCTCAGGATGGCAGGACACCAAGAAAAAACCTCCGAGATGGGGCCAAAGAGTTCAGGCCTTCATTTCCCATCATGGACTGCAGAGGAGTTTGGCTAAAGATGAAGACAGATTGGGTGTGTCTGGGGATGCTCTCACACACAAATTCCTGAAATCATTCACTTGATGGACATCTACTAAGCACCTACTATGTGTCAGGCTTGGGCACTGGGGATACAGCAGTGAATGAAATGGACAAAGATACTTGCTGGCACGGAGCTGATATTTTGGCCTGGGAGACACAAAAGATAAAAAAAATATACAAAATACTTAAATTAGGGTGGTCAGAGAAGGCCACACCAAGAAGGTGACATTTAAGCAGAGACCCGAGGAAGGTAAGGGAGTGATACAGGTAGCAGAACAAAGCACATTTCGGCAAAGGGCAAGTGCAAAGGTCCTGGGCAGGAGCATACCTGCTGCTTTCTGAGGACAGTGAGGAGGCCAGTGTGGCCGGAGCACAGGTGAGGTCAGCGAGGAGCTGGCAATCAGATGACACGGCCCATCCAATGAGATGGGAGGACACTTAGGGCTGGGGCAGAGCCACATCTGCTCTAACTTATTTATAGGTAGGAGTTATCGCCAAACACATCAGGTGTAACTGTCTAAAGATCATGTGTGGCTTTAGCATATCCTGCCCCAGCAACTATGCAACACATGGGCAAAATGGCCTGCCCACACTGGAAGGGCTGGAGAGTCTGAGCATGTCCATTAAAATAACGTATGTGCTTGCTTTTTCTTACTGCATGAGAAAGCCCTGCTGCCCTGGGCACCTGTGTGCAGTTACGAGGGGTTACTGGGGCACTTCCCAGGCCTCCACTTGGCCAGCTGTCTGGCACCCCAGGCTCCCCAGCCCTGGGCAGTGCCTGCCTCCTATGGCAGCTCTAACCCACAGTTCAGCACCGAGGAGGTGTTCATTGAATGACTTAACGTCGGACCCTCACACCAGCCTCCCCCGCCCTCCTGGGTCCAGCTCTCCATCCTGAAGACCCGGACTTGGACCCTCGGAGCCCCCAGCAGTGTGGCCTGAGAGCCCTGGCCCCCAGGACTCACCAGGCATGGAGAAGGGGGACAGGAAAGCGGCCTCCACGGGCTCTGGCTCCTGGGGAGGCGGCGGGGGCTGCGGCGGGGGCTCTTGGTCCCGCTGTGGCTCTTCCAGGTTTTCCACGGGCACATTCCCGTTCTCGATGCTCTCGTGTCTCCCGTTCTGAAGCGGCTTGCTGCTCACGCCGTTGGCTGAGTTGATCAGCCTCTGCCTCTGTGTGGACAGTAGGCAAGACAGACACCCAGGCATGTGACAAAGCTGCACCCTGCTGCTTGGTTCCTCACAGGCAGGTGGCACTTAAGGGTTTCGAGAACAACACCCCTGGCTTCAGGTTTGCCTGCGACATGGCTCCAGGACCTTAGAATCCAGCTAAGTTTGCTCATTTCCACTAGGACCAGTATCAGCGAAGGTACTGGTCAGAGCCCAGGGTTTCTTCTTAGTGTCAACCTGACAGACTAGCCCATGACACTGGATAAAAGCAATCATTCTGACTTTCCCAGTGGATGGTCATAAACCATCAGAAGACATTCACAAGAGAGGCTTTGCATAGTTAAAAAATCTTATTTCAGGTATATCATGCAAAAATTGAATTTACATTGTGTACGATGGTCCAGTGATGGTTTATATTAAGATGTAGAACATTTCCAGCCTCTCAGACAACTCACTAAGGGTCCCCTCTCCCCAGAAGTAATTAAGGTAACCCCATTCTGACTTTTATACACATCAATTAAGTTTTTCCTGAACTTGAATTTCCTATAAATGGATTCAGAGAGGACATATTATTTTATATTTGACTTCTCTCACTCAACCTAATATCTGTGAGGTTCATCCACCTTGTTGCATGAATCAGTAGTTCATTATTTTCCAGGGTTTTGTTTTTTTTTTAGTTCTACCAGTTTATTGCTACCAACCCATCTCCCTCCACCCTCGTGCACACATGCTCAGTCATGTAATCCCATGGGCTTCAGCCCGCCAGACTCCTCTGTCCATGGATTTTTCCAGGCAAGAATACTGGAGTGGGTTGCCATTTCCTTCTCCAGCCAGGGGTTTATAGTACTCCACTGTGTGAATAACACACAGTATGTCCTTTGCCACTTGATGGGCATTTGGGTTATTTCCTCTTTTTGGTTATCAGGAAGAATGCCATGACCATGCCTTTTTGTGGACACATGAACTCATTTCTCTGGGGGTATTTATCTAGAAGTGGGATTGTGAGATCATAAGGTAGGTGCAAGGTGAATCATTTCACACTTGTATCAGAAAAAGATTATAATTTCAGTTGCTTCCCATCCTTGTCCATGCTTGATATTGTCAATTTTTCCCATTTTAGTTATTCTGGTGGATGTGTGGTGGAATCTAATTGTGGTTTTAATTTGCATTTCCCTTTTAATTTGAGCATCTTATAGGGTTAGTAGCCATCTGAAAGGCTTCTGCTGTCCAAATCTTTCGCTATGCGTAATGGGTATCCTCTGAACCAATCAAACATCTTCCCTCCCCTATTTCCTTATAGCTGTTGACCAAGTCTGCCTTCTTTCCACCCAAGCAGAAGCCAAGTCAATGGGTTTCTACTAAACTGGAGAAAGGCAAGAAACCACATACCAAGAAATTAACAGGTTTCCATGTTTCTGAAAATGTTTGCCTTTGCACAGCTCATCTTTATCTGGCTCTCATTAAAAATATTTATGCTTTAGGATTAAAGCCCTGTGGGTAATAATCATCACACATGGACACAAAGCTCCTTCGCAGTTACATCAGCAGGAAACCAAGAGTCAGTACACAGGCCCCCAAGGCAATACTCCCTAACTGTGTGCCTAACACTTATCCTTGTGGTTACTGGAAGCAAAAAGATCGGCAAAAAAGTCATTATTACTTAAAATGGAAACATGTTATTTTTCCAAAAGAAAGAGGAATTGACCATTAACTGGCTTCATATTGGTTTTAGGCAGGGACTCCTAAATCATGAAGTCTAGGATTGGGTGGAAATCTAAAACTTTTTTTCCTACAAACATGTCCACAACATTTAGCCACCTAAAAGAGAAAAGTGATCTACATCTGAGACGCACGCCCAGGCATAATATTTTGCTACCCAAGAAGGGGTAAATGAAAGGTCTTCCTTACAGTCAAAATAAAACAAAACGAACAAAAAACCCTGCAAATAGCTGTGTTGCAGGGAAGAACCAATTCTGACTCCATGATGGATCTGTTTGACTTTAACCTTTGAAAAATTACATTTTTCACCTGGAGCCCACCAGGTTCCTCAGTCCATGGGATTCTGTAGGCAAGAATACTGGAGAGGGTTGCCATGCCTCCCACCCAAGGGGATCTTCCAAGCAGAGTTTCTTTTGTCTCTAGTATTAGCAGGTGGGTTCTATACCACTAATGCCACCTTCTGTTATTATAATCAAACATAATAACCTGCTTCAGGGAACCCTGGGCCAGGAAGATCCTGCCTGGAGAAGGGACTGGCCACCAGCTCCAGTATTCTTGCAGGGAGAATTCCATGGGCAGAGGAGTCTGGCAGGCTACAATCCATGGGGTTGCAAAGAGTTGGACACGACTGAATGACTAATACTTTTCAGGGAACCCTGACCCTCTTCAGGAAGAGATTAACACATTCCCTCCCTAAAGGCCTGCCACAGGGGAGCCTGCCCCTCTGATTAACACATCACCCCTCTTCTCCCAGGTTGGCCATTCCAGAAGATTTCTGCAAGATAAAGGTCTTTAGTTACTCAACTACCCACCTCCCCACCTCTGTCATATTGAGACATTAGTCTGCCATCTTCTCAATCAGTCGCTTTCCAAATAATGTCCTAGTCATTGCTTCAACACCTAATCTCTCAGTTAATTGGCCAGTCCTGTGGCAACAGACTAAGTTTGGACTCAGCAACAGCTGTGCAAGGACAGAATTGTAAGGAGTGACTCAGCGGTAGCAATGGGAAGGGGGTCATGACTCTAGCTTTATAGGAATCAAGAGAGAATTATCCTTGGAAAAAGAAAATCTGCAGCTATCTTGAGGTTGCATTAAAAAAGACTTAAGTTATAACACTGGTAGCTCAGCTGGTAAAGAATCCACCTACAATGCAGGAGACCCTGGTTCGAGTCCTGGGTTGCGAAGATCCACTGGAGAAGGGATAGGCTACCCACTCCAGTATTCTTGGTCTTTCCTGGTGGCTCAGCTGGTAAGGAATCTGCCTGCAATGTGGGAGCCCTGGGTTCAATCCCTGGGTTGGGAAGATCCCCTGGAGAAGGGAGCAGCTACCCACTCTGGTATTCTGGCCTGGAGAATTCCGTGAACTATATAGTCCATGGGGTTGCAAAGAGATGGACACGACTGAGGGACTTTCACTTTCACTTCACTTTCTCGTTATAACAAAGGAGGTGATGGATCCACATGCTGAGAGAGACAAACCAGAAGGTTTCTATAGTTTTTCAGTTTTCTTCTAGAGTTGCTCTAAACATAGAGAATAGGTGTGCATTCTTTTTTTTTTTTGCCCTGAGCAACATTAAAAAAAAAAAATCTGTACTTCAGACCAGTCTTTCTCCAATTAATCTTTCTCTAGTACTTGACAAAATACCTAGTGGAATGTGGCAGACATGGTACTCGATTGCTATCTGCCTTAAACTCCTTCCCGATAGGATCATTTGCTGCCTGTGGGTGCTGTCTGGGCTTCCTCGCTTCAACAGGTGCAAACACCAGCCTGGCAGAGGACACTTTGGGCCCAACGCCAGGAAGTGTCCTGACAAGCCAGGGCTTCCTGCAGTGCTGGAACCCATCCAAGGCCTTGGGCTCGCGTGGTCTCATGGGCCTTGAAGGAAACTTACCTCATTAATTATGATCCTGCTGGCCATCCGCAGACGAGTCCTGGGCCCAAATTTATTGGTGATCATGACCCGTAAGCCTGCCTCTGGGAAGGTGAACTTGGGAGGGCTGGAGCTCATGACCTCGTCCACCATCACCACTGGGTTTTTGTTGTACTGTGGCTCCTCCTTCACTATATTGAGCACAAAGCCATGATTAGTGCTGAGAACCCCCAGGGCAAAACCCCAGGGCTTGGGTGGCTGACATCCCCCCAAGGTGCAGACTTCTTGAGCTGTGGTCTCAGCAGCTGGTAGCCACACGGGAGCCTGGCTGCAGATCCTCCCATTAGTAGAGCAAACCACCTGGGTCTGAACCACCCACAAGTATTGAACAGATCCCCAGGGTCCCCCTTTTGCAGGACCACTTGCACATCTTCAGGGCTAGTCCCTCTGCTGACTGATGACCCTCTCTTCTGGGGCCCAGTCTTGGCTAAATGCAAGGGTCTTTCAGTTCCTCACCTAAGCCTCATGGGGCAGCCCACCTACAAAGTGCACTGGATCCCTGCCACCTCTCACCAATGACTCTGAGGGGGACCTTTCTTCCCCACCATTTACGGAGGCTCACATAAAACTTAACAAGTGGACAAGGGTCCCCTCAAGGGAAAATGCTGGGAGGTAACAGAGAGCACTGGTTCTAAGCTTCCTGTGAAGCTACCTGCTCTGTTTTAGAGGAATAATCTCCACCTTGCACACAGTATGCTTCCCAATTTGTTCTCCATGAGGCGGTAGGCAGCGAGGTCAAAGATCTGGCTTACAGGCCCTGACGAGGCAACTGAGACGGAGGAGAGGAGCCTGCTTATGAGGGGTGCACAGTGAGCTGCTGGCCAAGACCAGAGTCTCCAGTGAAACCGGCACCCTCCAGCAGGGAGGCCACTCTCTCTGACCCTTTGCTTCCACTCATGAGGCTGAAGACCAAATCTCCTTGGTCCCTGGACCTTCCCCGCCACCTTCAGGAACATGCTCTGGGCTGGAGTCCCTGGGGGGCTTGACAGTTAACTCCAGAGCCCAGGAGGGTCCAGAAATAGAAACACTCCTGAACACAGCACACAGAAGCAGGGGAGACTTTCCCCTCCGAAGGGCTGCCAAAGCAGGTATGCCCATCCCTCTCCACTGGTCACCAGCTCCTGATAAGTGTCCTTCCTGGATACCAGGGTAACTAGGAGCAGTCAGAGCAAACCTGCATGAGAGTTAATAGCACAAACACGAACAAATGCACACTAGACACACACACCCTCACCCAAGAGGCAGCAAGGCTCAGCAGACAGGAGGCATGTGGTTAGAACCAAAGCCGGGAGGACCATGCATTTGTGGGAGGCAAATATTAACCGCCAATGAGGCGTGCATTGGACTCGTGGGCTCTGTTTCTTAAATGCATGTGTTATTGCTTGGGTCAAAGCAGATTACTTACAATTTAGAAGAGGAGAAGTGTTAAGGAGACAAAGGCCAACAGAGATTGCAGAGATGATTAGCGTGCGGTGGATGCCGGGAGTCTGGGGCAGCATTCTTGATGGTGGCCAAGATGCCGGGGGTTATGTGAAGGAGAGCGTTAGTAGGGGGACTTCAATGCTCAGGACCTCTGGCCTTGGGGACGGCCCCTCTCCTGGCTGAACTCCACAGCTCGGTTCTACCCTGAGGAGCAGGAACCCTCATGCCCGAGGCCCCGCCCAGCGACAGGAAAACTGGAATCTCTCTGTCAACTACAAATTGGTGCCCGAGGATCTTTTTTAGTTGACACCCCCGTCCTCTGGAGCCCCCCCTCCAAGGGAGGGGAAACCAGGAATACATCCACACACTCCATAGGCAAAGCCAGCTCTGTCACAGGCATCGCCTTGGGGAACAATTGGGCTTAGGAGGAGGGAAAGACCATGATACTTGGCTTCTTGGGCATCTCATCCTGGCACCACCCACCGCCTGCTTAGCAGGTAACCCAGCCAATGTCACCATGTTGCCCCAGAAGTTGAATCTAAGGCCAGGTATCACCCGCTCCCTCCCCGTTCCAAGACAAAGTTGTATCCAGGGCCAGGGAAGCTTGGAAAGGTCCTACAGTGAGCCCAGCTGGTGGTCAAACTGGCCCCGGCAATCGGGTCATGTGCAAGGCCCCCTGACAGCCAGAAAGGAGAGGCCAGACCGCCCAGCCATGACAGGAAATGGGGTGCCTGCCTGCCTCCATCCTGGACACTTTTCTTGATGTATTGTGCTCTGCTTTCTTGAGCAGAATTGAAGTGTGGTATAAAAAATGTGTAAAACTTTTAGGGGGAAAAAAAAAAAACTGCATGCAGAACAAAACTGGAGGATGCTATTCCCCCTAAAAGAGAACACCAGCTTGTGCTGATCTGGTGAGCTGAACTGCATGATCTTTAAGAGCATTCAAGTACATAATAGCATTTTATAGGAGTGAAGGGTAAAAAGGCAACATCTCCTTTCCTGTCAAGAGATTGGGTTAAAAAAACTTTGATTTTACATCTATGGGAAATACCAAAACTGCAAAACAGCAAAATCAGGGTTTTGTGTGTGTGTGTCTTCCTGAAAGCATCTCTAAGCCAGCAATCTTTGACAACCCTGAATGGGGTGGTTTATGTGACCTGCCTGGAGGACCAGGGGAGATGAGTTCTGAGTTTGAAAGATTCTGTGGCAACACTGTCAGAAAAGGTAAAATCACGAAGGCCTGTTCTCCTCAGGCCACTCCCAGCCCCTACTGGGGTGTAAGCTCCTGCTCCAGTCAGTCAATCTGCTTCTAGGGGACAGTGCCCTTCAGTGAGTCACAAACACTTGCCCCGCTTGCCCCCCACTCCCCACCCTGTGTGCATGTTGAGCAAGTATTGGATCAGCCAAAAAGTTCGTGTGGAATTTTCCTTAATGTGGGATGGAGGGTCTGAATGAACTTTTTGGCCAACCCAATATGTTCTGTCCCGTCTCAGGTAACCCCCAGGAGGAAGGCGCCTGCCATGGGTGCTGAGTGAGGGGTGGATCTCTCCATGTGGAAGGAGGAAGGCTGCTGGGGAGAGGCGCCCACTGAAGGAGACCCAGGTAGGAGGCCTGAAGAGCACGGGCCCGAAAGGAGCAGTCACCATCCAGGCCTGCGTCTCCGAGCTCCAACCTCTCTGATTCCAGGCCTATGTCCTCCAACCCTGCCCCAGCCCATTTCCTCCTTGGCTTTTATCTAAGTGCATTCACCCTGATAAGAGCTAGTGGGAGACCTATGTCCCCTCCTTTCCTTGGCCTTAGGGGACAGTCTTGTGTCTAATATTCCAATTTTCCAGAAATTGTCCTGGACTCCGAGGTTTGGGGGAAAGCAATAAACTTGTGGGAAATCCTACTGACATGGATACAAAAGTGAGGGCTGTCAGAGAGCACCTGGAAAGGCCCCACGTGGCCTCAGGGCAGCCTGGATTTGTCTGGAAGAGGAAGTGCTCATGTCCCCGACACGTGGCACTGGGGACCAGCCTCCTCCATCAGCCACAAGGGCAGCAGGTAGCTCCCGGGGCTGGCACCTGAGGATGCGGGCATCTCCCACTGGCCCGAATGACTCAGCACATGGAATCGCTCCTCTCACCATGAAGGTCCGGAGGACCCCAGGAGCCCTGATCTCAATGTACAGAGACGGCCAGGAAGAGCCTCTGTCTTAAGAAAATGTGAGGGGTGGGGACCCGCCTTGGAGCCGCCGTGTCTGTGGAGCTAAAAATCCCAGACAGCGGCCACCCTGTTCCCTCCCCACCGACAAGGCTGTCCTGGAAATCGCTCTCCTCTGGGGCAGCCTGCTCACGTCTAAGATACAGGCACAAGGCACAGGCCCGTGCCCTGATGGTCTCCTTCCCGGGGCCCCCGGGGTGGGCCTGTGACTCTGGCTGCACCCATACCCTCTCCCCAGCAGCCTTCCTCCTTCCACGTGGAGAGATCCACCCCTCACTCAGCACCCACGACAGCTACCCTCCTCTTGGGGGTTACCTGAGATGGGACAGAACATATTGGGTGGGCCAAAAAGTTTGTTCGGGTTCACCACACCATCTCACGGAAAAATCCAAACAAACTTTTTGGCCAACCCAGCACTTGCTCAGAATGCACATGTGAGGAATCTCCTACCCTGATCCACCCCAGGGTGAGGGCTGGGGAAGTGCCTAGGAGTATAGATTTTGGCCCCTACGGGTCCCAGACATGGGCAAACAGTCCCCTCTGTGCCTATAGGAATTAGGAATTAAAGTGACCTAACAGAGACAGTGACTTGCCCAAGGCCGTGAGGAATAAAAGAGAAATACCCCACCAGGAGGCTGGTCCATGGTGCTTTTTCCTGGTTAAAGGAGACCTTTACCAACACCATGGGTGGAACTTGTTGGCAATGCCAGTTAAAGCTGTTTTTTTCCCCCAGATCCTGACTCCAAGAACCTATTCAGACCTTAACATAAGTCTTGGGTGGGAGAGGGCATCAATGCTGTTGGCTCCCTGGCAGAACTGCCCCCCTGGATGGAGTTACCAGGTAACCAGTTACCAGATAACTGGCTGGGTTAAGAAATGAGAATAGGGACTTCCCTGGTGGTCCAGTGGTTAAGACTTTGAGCTTCCACTGCAGGGGATGTGAGTTTGATTTCTAGTTAGCGAACTAAGATCCTGCATGCAGCAAGGTTCAGCCAAAAAACAAAAAGAATTGAGGACAAGGCTCCCAAGGCAGTAGCTGGTCAGGCCCAGACATTTGGGGGTACTTGACAGACCCGGGCTGGCTTCAAAGGCCCAGAATCCCCAGACAAGGGTCCAGAGAGAAGCTGAGGAGACCAGACCGCAGCCCCCAGGAGAAGGGGCTTCCAGTGGGGCTCTTGGGAGCAGGTCTGGAATTCCTCACCAGCTCCATGGTGTCCTCCCCAGCCTTGCTGTTCCTCTGGGCAATGAGTCAGCAGTCTCTCTAGAACAGAGCTCTCCTGACCTGGGCCTGGCATCTGAGAAACCCCAGGGAGACCCCACCTGCTCTGCCTTCCCAAGTCCTCAGCTTCCTGCCACTGGCCTTTGACCCGGGTCAGATATATGGTTCACTGTGTTTCAGGAAAGCCAGGCAGGCCTTGGGCCTTCCTCAGGAGGCCTGGGGTGACCCCTGGGGATGTGACTGTGGACGCTGGGCTCATTCTTGTCCCATCTGAGCCATAGCTCCCACATCACTTGCCCTCCTCATGTAGGGTCCTGTGACCAAGGGAGACAGTGACAGCTTGTGGTGTGTGTATTTGTGTGGTTTTAATGGCACGTTCACCCGCTCCTGTCTGCTCAGCCTTACCTTGCCCCAGCAATGGCAGGGAAGGGTCATCAGAGCTACTATCACAGTAATCATTACCATCCTCCAGCTCACTGTTGACTGTGTTGCCATTTGCAATAGTCTTTTGTTTGATTGTGAAAAAGGCCTGCATCTTCACATTGTACCTGCAAGTGAGTTAAGGCGGGAGGTCAGAGCTGCAGGAGAGCCTGGGCAGGGGAGTGGCTAGGGGCAGGGGGAGTGGGCAGGGGCCTCTTCCCCACCCCCCTCCCCTGCGCACCTGCAGTGAGCTTGGCCTTGGGTGAGGGGGTGGGGAGTTAAGGGTTTTTTTTTTTTTAATTTTTATTCGATTATATTAATAGTTGCTTTGTAATGTTGTATGAGCTTCTACTGTATAGCAAGGTGAATCAGCTCCATACACAGAGATATCCCCTCTTTTTTTGTGACTTCCTTTCAATTAAACTTATCCCAGAGCCATAAGAAGGGTTCCCTGTGCTATACAGTAGGTTTCCCATTATCTGTTTTATACATAGTGTCAATAGTGTATTTATGTTAGTCCTAATCTTTTCAGTTGAGCTGACAGAGTTTCCTGACAGGAACCCTGGAACAATGGGGCCTGCCCCTTTTGAGTGGGCTTCCTGGGGTCATAAGAGAACTTTTAGCTCAAGAAAATGACTGACGCCTACTTTCGCGCACCATGAGCCTGTCCTCACAAAAGCAGCTCAGCCCAGCCTCAGGAGAGGCTCGAAGCAGGCGCTCCCAGGCCTGGCCTAACCGTGGGTGCCCAGAGGCCCTGCCCCCACACCGTCCCGCCAGCGCCACTGTCCCCACAGAGAGGAGACTCCATCCCAGACTGCAGGCTGGCGGCCTCAGCCAAAGGCACTCAGAGAAGAGACCTTTAAAGACATTTCTCCTGCAGTTTTGACAGCTTACCATCCATTTTTAGAAAACACGATACGTGTTTTATGTCAACATGGGGATTCACAGTCTCATAAACCTCAGTGGTGTTTTCTTTTTTAATTATCTGCGGAGGTGTGAGGAGAAAATTAAAAATCTGAATGTGGCTTAGCTCATGGGTAGCTTTTTTTTTTTCAATTGTGGAAAAATACATCTGACATAAAATTTTCTATTTTAACTATTTTCCATTTTCAGGCTCACGTTTCGGTGGCCATAATTACATCTCTAAGGTGGTGCAACCAGTCGCCACTATCGAGTCCTCAAATTGTTAGTATCTCAAACAGAACTCGGGTCTCATTTGTCAAGGAATCATTAACGACGCCCTCCCCCAGGCACTCGGTAATCAAGCTCTCATCTGCTGCCTGCCTCTAGGAATCCGAGTCTCCTCAGCACCTCACAGAAGTGGAACGGCCCAGTGTTTGTCCTTTTGTGATCTGACTCCTTTCACTCAGTATAATCCCCTCAAGGTTCACCCACATTATGGCATGAGTCATACTTTCCTTTTCATGACTGACTGCTACTCATCATGGGTAGTTACGAGATGATTCTGACCCGGGGAAGCTTCCGGAGGGCCTCGCGGGTGCACACCCCCCACCCACCTGGTGTCTGCACCTTTAGAACTGCCTGCGCTACCCGCTGCAGCTGCGCAAGGTGACAGCCTCTAGAGGTGGCATTTTACGAGTCTGGAGAGATTGGAGCTGCCTGGCTCTTTCGAAAGAGTGGCATTAAATTATCAGGGGATTTATAGAGACAGCAAACAAGAGCAGTCACCCTGGGGCCAAGGGTGTGGAATTCGGTGAGGGAGAGGTCCTTGGTTGTTATTCGTTCCGGGAGCGGCCTCTGTCTCTGGCCACCAGCCGCCCGCCCTGGCCCAAATGTGGACAGTACCCCAAAACAGAGTCTGAATCTCTCTCCCACCTTGGCTGCCCCAGCAGGGTGTCCCCTGGAGAAAGGGGTGGCCAAAAATGACTGAAAGGGCTACCAGAGGTTTTCTTCTGACTCTGACGAAAGGCTGCAGCAGGTATGGAGCCAGGGGTGAGACAGCACAGGAGAGAAGAAAGGGCACTTACTTCATGATCAGGATGTAAAACACGTACAAGATGATGAGCACCAGGCCTTCCCACCTCAGAGAAAGAAAGGAGACTGGTTAGAACCAGGGAAGCCTGTGGCTGGGAGTGCCCGGCACGGCAGGTGGGGCAGGGCAGGGTGTCCCGTCACCTTCCCTGACCCAGGACCCAGCCCGGTGGACGAGCCGCCCAGCCCCCATCTGTCCGGCAATCTGGCACTCGCTCGGTAACAGAGACGGCTGGGGTGGGGTCTTCTCAACTATAGGGGCTCAGCGGGACTCAGGAGGAGCTCCTCTAGCTACCTAGAAAAGGGAGGAACCACCTCATCCCAGGCCTTCCCTGGGAGCTCAGCCGGTAAAGAATCCACCTGCAATGCAGGAGACTCCGTTTTGATTCCTGGGTCAGGAAGATCCCCTGGGAAAGGGACAGGCTCCCCACTCCAGTATTCTTGGGCTTCCCTGGTGGCCCAGATGGTAAAGAATCCACCCGCAATGTGGGAGACATGGGTTCGATCCCTGGGTTGGGAAGATCCCCCGGGAGAAGGCAGTGGCAACCCACTTCCAGTATTCTTGCTTGGAGAATCCGTATGGACAGAGGAGCCTGGAGGCTACAGTCCCTGGGATCGCAAAGAGTCAGACATGATTGAGTGACTAAGCACAGTACCTCTTCCTAGGGAAGGGAGGGGAGTGGCCAGAAGTCATGCAGACTTGACCCTAAAGGACCCTGTGGTCAAGCGAGATTCTGGCCAGCGACCAGAGGAGCTGGGGTCAGGTGGCAAGGAACCCTAAGAACTGCCTCAAGAGACAGGCTGGGCACAGTAGCCTCTTGGGTAGAACACGGGGTGGGGGCCGGTGGGGTGGGAGTCTTTCTGGGGTGCACTCTTCCTGTTGTCCTGCAGAAGCAGCATCCAATCCTACACATGGTAGGGATTTCTGTAGCTCCGAACAGAAGCCTCTGGGCAGTCCCATGGCTTAACTTGTTGGGTCATCTGAGTAATGTGTCCTGAAGACCTGCTAAGTGCCCAGCATGAGCTATACTCATTTTGGGGAGCTCTTCCTCTGCTGACAGAGCCCAGAGCCCAGCAGAGCGATAAAGGGGTTTGCAAACAATTTGACCACCCCCTCAGAACTCTGCCTACAGGTGAGGAAGCAGAGACCCAGAAGAAAGAGACTCTCTGGCTCACAGGGTGAGGCAGACCCAGAGCCAGCATGCTCTGCTCCCATAGCATGCAGCTGCTCACGTCAGGCCTCGTAAATACATTCCCACAAATGATCACATACAGGATACAGATCTCAATCACTGTCAACGAAGAGAATGTTTTTATGGCTTGTGGAAGGTATTGGGTTGGCCAAAAAGTTTGCTTGGGTTTTTACCACAACATATTATGGAAAATATGACGTGATGCTGAAGCTCCAATACTTTGGCCACCTGATGCGAAGAGCTAACTCATTGGAAAAGATGCTGATGCTGGGAAAAATTGAGGGCAAGAGGGGAAGGGAGCGGCAGGATGAAATGGTTGGACGGCATCACTGACTCAATGGACATGAATCTGAGGAAACTTGGGGAGATGGTGATGGACAGATAAGCCTGGCATGCTGCAGTCCATGGGGTCACAAAGAGGCGGACAAGACTTAGTGACTGAACAGCAACATCATGGGGAAAATCTGAATGAACTTTCTGGCCAGCCCAATACATTCATGCCTTAAAGGTTAGAGTGGAAATATCAACCTTCTCTTTAGAAGTTTGTGCCTTTTGTATCTTAATTAAGAAATCATTTCCAACCTCAGTGTCATAAAGATGTTTTATATTCTACCCTGAAATGCTTTAATTTTGCTTTTTGCAGCAAAATCTTGAATTCATCTGGGATTTATTCTTGTATAAGCTGTGAGGGATCTACATGGATTCTTCGTTTTTGCAGAATCTGAGGCTGCCCTCCTCCCCAACCCCAACTCTCTGCCTTGTAATGATGCCCCAACTCAGAACTGCCCATTACTGCGTTCTTGGTTCCATATTCCGCATTGGCCCACGTTTATTCCTGTGCAAAACAATCATACTGCTTTCATTATTTTAGCTTTATAAAATATCTTGCTATCTGGCAGGGTGGTAATATTAAGGAAAACAATCTTTGTCACTTTGAAAGGATAGATAAAGGTATGACTGCTTAGAATGATACTCTTTTGGGGATGTCCCTAGTGGCCCAGAGGTTAAAAAGTCAACTTCCAATGCAGGGGATGTAGGTTCCATCCATATTTGGGGAACTAAGACCCCATATGTCACAGGCAATTCAGCCCATGCACCACAACTAGAACACCCATGCACTCTGGGGCCACGCCACAAGTAGAGAGAAGCCTGCACACTGCAATGAAGATTCCATATACTGCAACTAAGGCTCTATACAGTCAAGAATAAATAAATAGTACAAAAGAATGATAGCCTTTTTTACTTTCACAAGTTCTTATATTTGTAAAAGTAATTTTTTAAAAAGATTCAGTGCACCCAACAAACAAGGATACTAACGAAAAGTGAAAAAGAAACAAATGTTTAAAACTTACCATACAATTTCTTCATCATATATGAACTGGGAAGGCAAAAGAAACAAGAGTGGGGGACAGATTTACTCCAAAAGAAAAACATACACAGACCCCTAAGTACCGTGAGGAGATGCACACCAGCTTGTTCTGATTTTCACAGAAAGCTGGCACCTCTCTCTGAAGTGACCCTTCCTTCGTGGAAACCTTGGTCTGCAGATGCTGCAGGATGAGGCCTAGTATGGGTCTCCAAAGAGAACTGGTCTGGCCTTCTGATAATCCAAGTAGCCATGGGGGCCCATCTGCAGGGGTCTGCCCTCATTAATGGAACAGGGTTGCTGAAATCAAGAATCTTAAAAACTGAAAAGCTATCTCTGTATGTGTGTTTGTGCCTGCCTATCTATCTATCTATCTATCTATCTATCTATCTATCTATCTATCTATCTCTCCCTCCCTCCATCTTTGGTACTTCTGTGTGGGGTGGGATGGGATGGGGTGGGGTGGGGTGGGTGGGGAGGAAAGGGTGTCATTGTCTTAAAAATAAAGAATAACCCCTTTGGAAGCTCTGAGGACAAAGGACCCACTTGTACCACTTGAAGGGAGGCCGGGGTTGATGGCGAGGTTGCCACAGCTTCCTAAGAGGGCATTAACATTGTCCAACATCTCCACCCAGCATCCCCTATGTGGGATGCAGACAAATGATGCCTTTGTGGTCCTGGGAGGTATCCTGTAACTGCCCCGGCCAGGCCCAGTGCACACAGGAGGGGGCTATGTCCACCAATCAGATCTTGGAGACACTGGGGTCCCTATACACAATGCCAGGACAGGCCACGGGCTGCAGTCTGGATTTGGGCCCACTGCACCCTCTGCTGGTCGTCAGGAGGGAAGCACACACAGGATCTGCTTTGGGAGGCCACTCGGACAAGGTCATCCTGGCTGAGCACTGCTCTGAGGCTCCCCAGACTCTGGTGATACCAGAGGGGAGCCTGGTATCACCACCTGAGGAACCTGGGGGACACTTATGGGGACAGTCTCAGCTTTTTATTACCCAGTGGAAGGCTACCGGCATTGAGAGGATGCAGACCAGGGACACCAGTCAGTCTCGAACATGTAAAATGTTTCTCCCAGAGGAGTTATCCATATTTGACATACATCTTAAATGTCCTGCTAGATATTTAAGCCAGCAGCAAAAAAAAAAAAAAAAAAGACCTGAGCCTTGAACTTAACTCCATTTTATAAATCAAAGTATTTTTACACAGTTTTAATAAACACTTAATTTTCTAGTGAGTTAGCTATCACACAAGTGGAGAGGGATGACTGTACTTGGCTCAGTTTAGGATTTTATCAGGAGTCATTCATAATTTCAGAAAATTCCATCATCAATGTCAACGCCACTCACAGGGAGGCCGGTCCAGCATATCAGCCTGTACTGGGAGCCATAGGGCCTGGAGACTTCCTGTTTGAGCGCAACAGATTACATCACTCAGCGTTCTAGCATCTTCCTGCCCAAACAGTGATACACTAGATGTATTCTTTTATTATGAATTACTTTTGTCTTTCATGATATAGTTTGGGCATTATGCTGATTTGGTAAAATCGTATATAGGTAAATTGTTTTACCTCTAACTTTCATTTTTGGGGGTGTGGTGGGCAGTCTCTCAGATACCTGGCATTCAAGCTCCCCTTGTATATGTGGCCTGATCTTAGGGATCTGCTCCTAACAGAATATGGCAAAAGTGATGGCTGTCACGTCTGAGATTCGGTTACAAACAGACTGTGGCTTCCATCTTGGCACCTCCTCGCCCTTGCTGGGATGGGAAGCAGTCCCCAGTGATGTGAGTTGTTCTATAGACAAGGCTGAGGCCTGCCCATTGCCTCACAAGGGATCTTAAAAGCAGATTGTTGCCCAGGTGAGCCATGCCATAACTGTATTCTGGCCGGTGGGTACACCAGTGAGAGATCCTCAGCCAGAGGGCTTGGCTAAGCCACTCCCAGATCTGATCCATAGAAAAAGGGGGCAATAAATGTTTGCTGTCTTAAGCCGCTGAGAGTTGAGGGAAATTTGATACATGGCAAAAGCTAATTAATACAAAGATCATGGTTATCAAATCCAGTTGGCTCTAGATGTCCTTAGGTGGAGAACTATTCTAGAACACATTTCATACTCTGAGATCTGGGCATGCCACATGCATCTGCCCTCTTGATATGACCTGCCCTCATGCACTCACTTGAAAGCTGCTTTTGGATGGAAACTGCTCCCCTGTGGATGGTCCTCAGCAGTAAGCCATGTCCTGGGCTTCACTGCTGTGTCACTGTCACATGCTATGTATGATGTCACCCCAGCCCTCAGGGGTCGCTGTTTCAGGCCCTCTGCCTTTTCTGCCCACATCCTTGCTCCCAGCTGCCCACCCCGAGGGCTCCTATCTCTCTCTTCCCAGCTCTGCAGTGAGCTGGGAGACCAGAAACTCTGCTCCTTAGGAAACCAGCTCTAAGTGAGGATCTGGAAGCCTCTGATGAGCACATTCTTAAGCTTAACTGCATCAACCATATGATGCCTGCTTTAGCTTTTTCAAGGCCTTTCTGCCCTCAGGGTGGTACCTGGATGTGCTTGATAACCAAGCATCAGGTATGAAGTTTTCGGGACAGGGAAGCACCGTGGTGGGGAATAGGTCAACATGACCACCGTGAGTGGCCAGCCTGGGGTGCCATGGGTTCTCTGGTCATAATGCCAGGGACAGGACAGTGGGGCAGGGGGAGGGCGCGTTAACTCACAGCAATGAGCACGATGACAGACAGGGTGTAGTACACGGAGTCTCGGCACACGGCCCACCATGTCAGACGGACCACCTGCCGAGCAAAGGGCCATTAGCGTTACCAGCTGGGGAGAGGGGGTGTGGGGGGTCACAGCTGGGGGTCCCATCATCCCCAGACCCCTGCAGCTGCAGACACATGCCCTCGGAGCTCATCTTAACTGTCCACCAGGACCACAGCGTGTCTGGCTGCTCAAGGCCACCTTGCGCTCTTGGTCATATTTGGGGACAGAAGGACAGCATGTTCACATTCATAAGTAATGGCAAAGCTGCCCCCTGCTCCTTCACGGTGACCAAATGGCACATATCTCAGGAGAAGCCATGTGGCCATGGGAGGCCAGAGATACTCACTCTTCTCTTAGTGCTAGAACTTTCTGGGGGTGACTGGCTGCCTCCCTCTATCTCCCTTGCCAAACACAGCCTTCCATGAGCCCAACTCTCTGAGGTCAAGGCTAATGTCCCCCTGTGGCTCCAAGGATCAGGAAGATGTGATAGGGAATCGACAAGCCAGCTTCATGCACCCATAGGGAGGCCGAAGACAGGCCCCAAGTAAGTCCAGAGTCTAGCTCACGGTCAGGGTTACATTACAGGAAATGCTTCTTAAATATTTACTGCTGTCAAATAAACGCCCCACATCCCACCCCCAGACCAGCCAAGGGGGCAGCTGGCACTCTTTCTGCTCTCAGACCCACTTGTGGAAGGAACACAGGACACCCCTGTTACACACGAGGAAATGGACTCGGAGGGGACACCCCTGCTCAAAGCCACGGGGAGTTACAGGCATGGCTAAGGCTCGGCCTTGGGTCTCTCCCACGCTATCCCTATGTCATTTCATGAGAAGAGAGACACCACTGACCTGCCCTGCGAATAATCCACAAACTCCAATTATACACAGGATGTTGAACACAGCAGAGCCCACGATGGTCCCAACCCCGACGTCTCCGTGGGTGATGAACACGCCTGGGAAGAAAGAGGCACAAACCTCATGTGCAAGCCCAGGCCTACTCCTTCCTCAGACCCTGGCCGGCTCCGTGTCCCCCATCCCATGAATGGACAGGACTTGTTCTTACTACCAGGGAACACCCAAGATGCTGGTGGGAACAGCAAAACCAGACATGGAAGAGTCCTCAGGGACCCGCTACACCAGTCCTCCCATTGTGGGGAGCAGCTTCAGTGATCATTCACATGCTATAAAACTCACCCACTTAAAATACCAAGTTAGTGCTTTCTAGTATAGTCAGAATTATACAGTCATCACTGCAATCTAATTTTAGATCATTTTCATCACCTCAAAAAGAAATCCCATACCTGTGAGTACCCTACTCCACTCCACACCCCAGGGAACCACTAATTCACTTTCTCTCCACGTCTCCCATTTTACAGATGAGAAAACTGACACTCAGAGCTGAAAAAACATGCCCACAAGAGTCTGGGCATCCAACCTGGGTTCTTCCTATATCCCGTGTCTCAAGCTGATAGGATTTCTTACCAATAACAGAGGCAAACAGCTCTGGTGTTGAGCTTCCCGCAGCCATGAAGGTGGCTCCAGCCACATCTTCGCTCAGATGGAGTTTCTGAAACAGAAGTGACCGCAGACCCTCAGGCTGTACTGCGGGAGCAGTAAACATGCCTACTGGACACTTACAGAGAGCGCGGGGCACAGACCCACAGCCAGAGTCAAGCTTCAGGGCTGGTGGCCTCTCTTCACTCATCCTGAGCACACGCCCTCCTCCACTCTGCCTGATGCTCACCCCCGAGTCCCCTCTCCCCTTCCCCCACCTGTCAAGTTTTGTTCATTGTCTGAATGCTTAAACAGTCTCTCTTTGATGAAGGCTTTTTAAAAGGGCCACCACGAGTCAGCCACTCCCCCAGGGAAGAGAAGCTGAAACATGACTCATGCAGTGAGGATCTGAGGTCCATGTGCATGCTTCCCCACTGGATGACAAGAAGGGTTTTTTTCACCTTTGGATGCCTGGAACAGGAGCTGGGGATCATCGGGGAGTCTGCTAGTCTAGCGCCTGTCACTTCTGGTGCTCACGCAGACCTTGGGTACCATGCGAACATCCATACATCAGGTTGTGGGATGTGGAAAACTCAGGTGCATAGCCTGGGCCCTGTATCCCAGAAGGCCTTCCCAATGGCAGGCCGGACACCTGGCTGCCCACTGGAATAGACCTTACCTCTTATCCCCAGAGTCGAGTCGGTCCTGGGTAATAATTTCACTGGGAGAGCATTTTCTTCTGCCAAGCCCTGGGACAGGTCTAGAGCTATCTAGGCCCGTTCTGCTTGGTGAGACCATGTTCTGGACACAGAGGCCCATCCTCTGATCTGGAATTTGGGGCTGGGGGCTTTGGGTGCTTGGGAAAACCATGGAAATCCTGAGTCCCCCTGAATGCCAACCTGAAGGTGCCCAGCTATGGTCCTTAGAAGGCTTCTGGGAAGACTGGCTCAGAGCAGGACTTGGTCTCCTCCAGCTCCCCCCTCTCAAAGCACTCCTGGGGAGCCTGGGCTCTGAAGCCACCGAGGAATCCATTCCCTGGGCCAGGACAACCTCCTCAGTAAGCTTGCTACGGAAGGAGCCCTCAGAAGGGTTGGAGCTGTGGGTTTGGTGGAAAATGGGATGGGGGCATAGCATTGACCCCCCCCAGACAGAAGCCCATCCACCCTAGCCCTGCCAAAGAGGAGGTGTCACAGAGGTTCCGCCATCAAAGCACCTATAATAGCTTTTAGCAGAATCCAAACCATGCTATATCCTGTCCTGCCACCTTCCTGCTTCTGCTTGGGTCACTCCTTCCCTCTGGAATGACCTTCTCCTTCCACTCAGCTAGTGGAATTTCTCAATTCCAAAGCCTGGACCAAATGCCACCTCCTCCATGAAGCTTTCCTTGGTTTCTCCCCATAGATGCTCCCTCCCTCCTTTTGAATCCTCAGTACCTTTGATGGCTCTCACTAGGTCTCTTCCATCAATCTTCCCTATGAGTCCAGGCCCATCACCCTTGCTCACCTCTGTGTTTTTAGGGAGATGGGTAAACTCGTCTAGCATCGCCACTGAATGTGGTCCTGTGTCCATGGGCTTCTGTCACCCCAAAGAGGGCAGGGGACGCAACCTTGTTGCTGCAACCCACAGCATATTCTGGGGTGTGTATTCTGGAAAGACCAGTTGACTGTTTTTCCTGAGGGCCTCCTGTGAAGAAGTGATAGCCCACCACCCTGGGGCTGCCTCTAGGTTGAGCATTCAACCCTGACATCCCAGTAGCCATTTCCTGATCCTGTTCCCCCTCTGGCTCAATTCTGTCACTGACAAGTATCTTGAAAAAGAGCATATGGTTTTATCTGAGTGGGGTAAGGGGTCAAGTGTGGAGCAAAGGGAAGGCAGGGCCTTTGCACACTTTTGCCAGGTCACTCACCACTTAGTGAACTAGGTCAAAAGCAGCAGTCCTGCTGTGAGCTCAACAGAGGGTAAAGTAATGGGGACGTGCCCACCCCTAACAATCCATGTCCAACCTGCAAATCTGCCAGTGACAGTATGACCTAAAATAGCTGGGAGACGTCATGTGGATAAAGTGCAGTAACACCCAGATCAGTCTGCACTTGTGCATGTGGGCTAAGTCGCTTCAGTCTTGCCCGACTCTGTGCGATTCTATGGACTGAAGCCTGCCAGGTTCCTCTGCCCATGGGATTCTCCAGGCAAGGATACTGGAGTGGGTTGCCGAGCTCTCTCTCCAGGGGATCTTCCCAGCCCAGGGACTGAACCCACATCTCTTGTGTCTCCTGCATTGGCAGGCAGGTTCTTTACCACTAGCGCCACCTGGGAAGCCCCCAGTCTGAACACAGTAGATGCTAAAAACAGAGACAGTTTTCCTTCCTTGGCTAGAAGCTGAGGGAGGAGGGGGCAAGACTGGGAAAACGTAACAAAAGAATTAAAAGGAGAAAATGTCAGGCTGCAAAGGTTAGGACCAAGGGCATTCCCTGCCATTGCAGCTCAGCATCTTCCCTAGGGACACAGAGCCCCACCTGGTACCTGCCACCTGCAGCTGTTTTTGGCAAATGCTTCCTAAATAACCAGCTTTGGCTTAACTACCAGCACCCGCTGTGAAGCCAGAGGTCCTGGGTAATAATTTCACTGGGGGAGCATTTTCTTCTGCCAAGCTCTGGGGAAGGACACCACCCCCTAATTTTAACCTGGAGCTTCAGAGCAAGGCTTTGCACTAGCAACGCCAAGTACTTGGCCTGACAACCTTCATCGTCCTAGTGCTCCCCACATCTTGGCCTGGTACTAACACACCAAGTGTCAGTCACCCCCAGCCCCCCACCCAGGCTTTGCCAAAGGTCCTAAGTCCTTCCCACGCACCTCGCAGATCTTCTCTAGAGATGGAACAAAGAAGTCATCACATACTATGGCCAAGGCGTAGAACATGTACAAAGCCTGCAAAGGAAACAGGGAGACAGCATCAGCCAGGACTCCCGCCAGCAATGGGCACGGCCAGGAATCCATCACGCTCCAAACCAGCCTGCTTGGGTTAGGAAAATTCCAGCACCACTGGAATGTGCTTCCTCAATCCTCTCACTGGCAGATGGGGCCCAGAGAGGATAAATAACCTGCTGAGCATCAGAGAGTACTAAAAGTCAGTCCACAGGGTCCTGTGTCCCTTCCTCTCTTCTTAAACAAGCAACCCTCTTTCTCCAACACACAAGTAGGCCCTCAATAGGCAAGATCCAAACCTCGAGGGCCAAGAAGGAATGCACTTAAAACCACTATCTTACAGCATTGAAACATGTATATTATCTAGGGTGAAAAGGATAACCAGCTCAGGTTGGGGACATGAGACAAGTGCTCGGGCCTGGTGCACTGGGAAGACCCAGAGGGATCGGGTGGAGAGGGAGGTGGGAGGGGGGACTGGGATGGGGAATACATGTAAATCCATGGCTAATTCATATCAATGTATAACAAAAACTACTGTAATGATGTTAAGTAATTAGCCTCCAACTAATAAAAATTAAAAAAAAAAAAAAAATAAAACCACTATCTTAAGAATTTAAATTAATCATCATCCTGATTTCCCCTCTTTGAGTTTTAGCGAAGGCATCATTTCCTGTCACCAACTGCCCACCTCCTGCCAAAACAAACTTGAGACCCAGCATTTCCCAGAATGCTGCTTGATGTTGGTCCAGGTTAAAATACCTGAGCTACTGAACATTGGGAGGCTCATGGAACAGAGTCCAGATTATAGGGCTGATCCTGGGAATTTTCTGCCTTGTGATTGAGGATAAATCATGTCTCCAGGTCGCAGTTTCTTCTGTTTGATGACAGAGCAAGACAAATCAGTAGTTTTTAGATGGTGTTATCTACAGAACTCCTCTCTGACCTGTCCACTCAACATGACTTTACTGAGCTCATCTTATATGACAGGTACTATTGTAGCCATTAGGGATAGGTGACAAGGATGCCAGGAAAAGCCTCTGCCTCTTTGTGGGGGACAAATAGGCAAATAAAGTATCTATATTGGCCGGGAAACAGCACATGCAAACATCCTGAGGCAGGAATGTGTTTGATGCATTTGAGAAACAGCAAGGACATTGGTGCAGGCAGAACATATAGAAAGTAAAGTGGAAAATGACTAATGTGAAGTTGGAGAGAGAGGCAAGGACCAGAATCTGTGGAAAGGAGAGGGGATTTTATGTTGAACACTGGTGGAAGCCATTTTTTAATTCAAAGAAAAAGTGACATGAATGCTCTATTCACAAAAAAGGGAAAGGCTGGGCTGCTTCAGCTTAGATGGTGTGATATCCCAACAACTTTACAATTAATTGCATGCATGCATGCTCAGTCTGTCAGTTGTGTTCGACTCTTTGTGACTCCATGGACTGTAGCCCTCCAGGCTCCTCTGTCCATGGAATTTTCCAGGCAAGAATACTAGAGTAGGTTGCCATTCCCTACTCCAGGGGATCTTCCTGACCCAAGGATCAAACCCATGTCTCTTGTGTCTCCTGCACTGGCAGGCAAATTCTTTACCAACTGAGCTATTAGGGAAGCCCACAGATAAAGTGGAAGATCTATCAGTTGTGACCACAGCATCCAAGGCAAATGTGTACTGGAGTCCAGGTGTGGCTATCCCTGAATTTGATTATCTTTTGGGGGGAAGCAAAAAGAAACAAATACTGGGGGTGCAGGAAGGAGAGAGAGAGACAGGAGGCACTGCTACTAATCTCAGGATCCCAACTGAAATTCATACCCTCAGAAATTCCCCTCTACAGCATTTCCCAGGCAAAGAGCCTCTGGCTCCCCTGACATCTCAGAAACACTGGAGAGAAAAGGGGGCCATGATGGCACCAGTATTTCCTTCACTTGGGCAGGAAGTTCTGAGAAGCTTCTTAGTGCTACAGACAAAACCTGGCTCCAAAGCTCAAGTTTTTTCCTGCTCTAAAGAAGGGCTCGGCAAACTTTTTCTTAAAAGTGTCTGATGAGTCTTTACGGACCATACAGCCTGTCATAACTCTGCTGCTATTGAAGAAGAGCAGTCATGGGCATGAGGGTGGTTGCCTACCAATAAAACTTTATTTATAAAAACAGGAAGTGGGCTGGATTTTGTTCTCCAGATGTAGTTGGGTAGTGCTTGCTCTAAAAGGGTTCCTGCAAAATTCCCGAGGACCTCTCGAGTTCAGGAAAAAAGGCTTTGACAAGACACTGGTGAGGCAGAGGGACAGACTGTGGGACTAACCGGTCAAACCCACATCCCAACAGTGAATGGGGAGGGCAGGGGAAAGCCAGAGAAACTAGAAAGATACTAACTCCATTTGAGAAATAATACACAAGGCTGTCACTTGAAATTTGCCTACAATCTTCATTTTCATTAATGGTTTATTCTGTTAATTAAAACTTCACTCACCCCTTATTCTCAGGTGGTTACTATCTATGTGAGAATCCCAGCTTTCCCTTGCTTAATTATCTCTTGCAAAGATGAATACTTGGTTGGGTTTAAATATAGAAGCAGATGGTGCTGAGTGGTCAGGGAACCACATCAGGAGGAACATTTGCTGTGGTTGATCCAAAGGAGAAAATTAAACCCTGAGCGCTTTCATCTCCCTGCATCAGAAAACGAGGCTGGCAAATTTTTTCTACAAAGAGACAGACAGAAAATCTTTTTTGGCTTTGTGGATCCTGGAGTCTTTGTCACAACTACTCAGGTCGGCCAGGGAAGCAGAAAAGCAGCCACAGATGATACAGAAATGAATGAGAATGGCTGTGTTCCAATAAAACTTTATTGATAAGTATGGGCAACGGCTGTGGGCTGTAGTTTGCATGCAGAGAAGAGCAACTATTACCTATCATATAGGTTTGAGCCCTCTATGCCTTTTTGAACTGCTACTCAAACTCTGCCGCTGCTCACCAGGCTCAGTTAATACCAAGGAAGTTTGAGAAGAAGGGCACCAAAGTCTCAAACCGCAGTTATGTCAGGATGGTAAAATGTGGGGGGGTCCTGGAGAGCATTATCCCATTCCCTGCTATGTCTGAAGGATGTGACCCATGTTCGCCTATATTTACACATCTGGGGAAGAAATGCTGTCACTCTGGTATTATAAAAAGCAGAAAAGGAGGCACAAGAAGACATGAATCTTTGTCCTGGCTCTGGGGTCACTCGCTGCGTGACACTGAGCTAGTCACTTCACATCCTTAAGACTTCATTTCTTTGCGGTTAAAACAAGTCCAGGACCCGTTCTCAGAGGGCTCTTAGAAGAACACGGTGAGTCTCTGACACATTGTGCTATGCAGACAGGCTTCCCCTGCCGCAAGTCAAGGGATGTCCCACCCCAAGAGGGCCACTTACCCCGAGAATATGCAGCAGAACGGCCCCGTGCTGTCGCTCGTGGTTGGAGAACAGGTCTGTGGGGAACTCGTGAATCGCTAGAAGACAAGAGGACAGGGCAGGGGTTAGTTCTCAAGGAGTGTCCCTAGGGTTTGGCCATGGAACTGTGGAGGCCCCTGGTGTTGGACCTGGGGAGAGGCTGGCTAGTTCTCCTCTGTCTGTGGCAGATCTGAGCTCTTAGGAAAACATTGCTGGATATGGATTATCCAGATATTCTAGTACCTTAGAGTTGACCATGGTTTGTATATCCCTTGCAATTAAAAAAAGAGAGCATGAAACACATCACAACCACTAGGATGGCTATAAACAAAAAGACAGATAAAAACAAGTGTTGGCAAGGATGCTGGAACCCTCATACATTAGGAGTAGGAATGCAAAACGGTGCAGTCACTTTGGAAAATAGTCTAGCAGTTCCCCAAAAGATTAAACAGAGAGTTTGACCCTGCAATTTTCCTCCCAAATATCTTCCCAGGAGAAACGGAAACATACATTCACACAAAACCTGTACATGTATGTCCATAGTGGTATTATTCGTAACAACCAAAATGCAGAAACAACCCAGACATCTACCAACTGATGAGAGGGTAAAGCGTGATACATCCATACAAGTGGAATATTATTTGGTGATAAAAAGAAGTACTGATACATCTTATAACATGGAGGATGCTTGAAAACATTTTGCTAAGTGAAAGAATTGTAAGAAGTCAATCACAAGACTACTTATTGTATGACTCCATTAATATAAAATATCCAGAAGAGGCCAGTCTTATAAAGATGGAGACAGATTAATGGTTGCCTAAGGCTGGAGGGTATGGTGTTTGGGGGATGACAACTAAGAGGTACAGTGTTTCTGGGGTGATGAAAATCTTCTAAAATTGTTTGCAGCAATGCTTGCACAATTCTAAATATGAAGAGTCACTGAATTCTATGTTTTAAACAGATGACCTATATAGTATGTGAATTATATCTCAATAAAGTTGTGACCCCAGGTGGCATTAGTGGTAAAGAACCCGCCTGCCAACGCAGGAGACAGAAGAAACACGGGTTCAATCCCTGGGTCAGAAAGATCCCCTGAAGGAAATCACAACCTATTTCAATAATCTCACCTGGAGAATCCCATGGACAGAGGAGCCTGGCAGGTTACAGTCCATGGGGTCGCAAAGAGTTGGACATGACTGAAGCGACTTGGCACAGAGTTGTTACCAAAAAAAACATAAAAAAATCGAAAGGTGCCAAAAAGGAAAATCAGGGGATGGTTCCTCATTCTGTCAAAGGATTCTGATCACATTCTTAGCAGAGAGCTTTCCAACTGTCTTCAATGCACACTCAGATCTGTAACAAACACATTCCCCACCAACAGTCTTGCTGAGGCTGGAGTCAGTTGTCTTGCTGTGAGCGGGCTCTGAGTTCACATGGCCAATTTCAGTTCTTAGTTCTAATATTTACAGGCTGGATCAACAGGGACATGTTCCTTAACTTCCTTGTGCCTCGGTTTCTTCATCGGTAAAATGGTGAGCTTAACTTTAATAACATGCCTTAAAGTGTTTCAAGCTCATAGTGAGCTTCCAACCAGCACCCTCACCCCAGGATTCTAGAATCCTCTTCCCTCACCACTGTCAAGTCAGAGCTGAGAAGCAGCTCCACAAAGAGAAGAGGCTGGAGTCGCTTCAGAACTCGGGGACTGGCAGCATCTTGCAAAGACCTTCCGGTCTGGACCCGTCAGTCCCTTCTCCCGCCTTCTCCTCCCACCCACAACGCATCTGTCACTCCAGGTGGGGAAGCAGAGATCCCAGGGAGGTCAAGTGACATTGTCAGGGAGGGGGGTGGCACTGTGGGCACCAGGAAGCTCTGTCCTGTGCTGAGCACTCGTTCAGCAGAACCTCACAGAGCAGGGAAAACGGTCCATGGGAGGCGAGGCTCCAGGTCAGCCTTGGAAGGGGAGCTGAAGCCAAGCTGGAACAAGGGAGGAGGGCGGGCTAGGAGCACCCTTGTCTCCACCCCAATGCCAGGTAAGCTTCCACCAGTACAGGCAGCATCTCAGGTTACTGAGCACCATGTCATGCACCTTTCTTTGACCCCAAGAATGCCCCTGTGGGGTGGGTACCACCATGCGTTCTGGGCTCGCAGCATTCTGGACTGTGGGGGGAGCCCCGAGAGGTGGAGAACCTTCTGCTTTGGGAATCAAACACTCAGGATGCAGCTCCTGTCCTTGACATGCCCAAGTAGTCTGAACAGCTCATCTGCTTCTTGGCCTCAAAATGTTCACCTGTAATGGAGGAATAACTGTTTCTCACCATCCAGTCAATCCTAAAGGAAATCAACCCTGAATATTCACTGGGGGGACTGATGTGGAAGCTAAATACTTTGACCACCTGATGCAAAGAGTTGACTCATTGGAAAAAACCCTGATTCTGGGAAAGATTGAAGGCAGGAGGAGAAGGGGACAACAGAGAACGAGATGGTTGGATGGCATCATCAACTCAATGGACGTGAGCTTGAGCAAACTCCGGGAGATAGTGAAGGACAGGGAAGCCTGGCATGCTTCAGTCTGTGGGATCACAAAGAGTTGGACATGACTTAGCGACTGAAAAACAACCGCCCCCAGGGGGTGACCAACAGGTGAGTATGCTGTCAATGTCATTTCTGCAGGTTCTCCTTCAGACACTGCCACATCCCCATATCCTCATCATTAGTCCTCATCGATTCAGCTATCCTGGAAGCTTCTGGAGGGCATTGATCCACACTGTCCTGGCACACAGTAGGTTGTCAATAGACCTTAACAGTCAACTGAAAAAACAACGCTGTAATATTTGGTTGGCCAAAAAGTTCGTTCAGGTGTGCCCATACCATGTTTCTGGTATGTTTGGGTTTCTGGAAAAACCGAAATGAACTTTTTGGCCAACCCTGTATTAACAGAAAGGGCTTCCCTCAAAGTTCAGTTGGTAAAGAATTCGCCTGTAATGCAGGAGACCCTGGTTCTATTCCTGGGTTGGGAAGATATGCTGGAGAAGGGATAGGCTACCCATTTCAGTATTCTGGCCTGGAGAATTTCATGGACTGTGTAATCCATGGAGTCGCAAAGAGTCAGACACAACTGAGCGACTTTCACATATTAACAAAAACGATAATGTACATCATCTCATCCTGTTAGAATGCTTTCATTACTGTTGCAAAACTCTTAAATACCTAGAATGACACCTCTTCTGGTTCGGAGTGGGCACTCAATAAACGCTTATACGGGCATGCTCAGTTGCTCAGTCATGTCCGACTCTTTGTGACCCCATGTACTGCAGCCCACCAGGTTCCTCTGTCCATGGAATTCTCCAGGCAAGAATACTAGAGTGGGTTGCCATTTCCTTCTCCAGGGGACCTTCCCAACCCAGGGATCGAACCCGTGTCTCCTGCATTGCAGGCGGATTCTTTACCCACTGAGCTACCTAGGAAGCACCAAATGCTTATTATAAACTTCCAGGATAAAAGTCCCTTCTCTGTGAATATAATTTGGCTCTAAAAGTGATGGCTTTTCCTTTAAAACAGATTTTAAAAATTCTGCTTTTTAAGATAAGTCTCCCAATAAGACCTAGAAAACATTATTAGCTCCCCCAGACATTCAGAAAATGTTCCCACTTTAAAACAAGCAGCATTTAATGAAATATAGATTCTTTCACTTTTCCCCCCTGTAATCAAACTTCTTTAATAGAATTGCTGCTGTCAGTTCAAGGGCAGGAGTCTACTTCAAGGCTCGGCTCAGAGATGGAGAATTATAGAGGGAATAACTTGGCATTCTTGCGTCCAGGATCTTGTTTCCAGGAGAAATGGAACTGTGTGGGATATAAGGGCAGATCAAACAGACATTTCTGCCATGAAAATTTGAGTCCATTTTTGATTCTCCAAACCAATGATTTGTGAGCTGGTGATTTATCCAATCCTAGGCACTCTTTGAGAATTAGAAACAAGTAAGGCTGCCTTTCTGCTATAAGGAATATCATCTGGGCTCCAGGGGGGAGGGGGATGTGGGTTATAAATGACTTTGTCCTTGGTAGGAAACGGCTGCTACTGGTTCAGCTGCAGCACCTTGCTCTGTGACCCCATGCATACGTTGGAGGGCTGTGGAGGGGAGCGAATGCCATCATGGCCTGAGTTCTGTCAGCAGAGACTAACCAGCAGAGCCACGAGCTGCTCATGACCCATTGCCCTCTGTACCTACCCAAGTCTTCTGGACACACCCTGAGCCCATGGGGCAGGCGCCACAGCCACAGATGTCCCTGTTTTCCAAATAAGGCTCAGCAGGGGATGATCTGTTCAGGGACCACATGAGCCGGGACTTAGCACGGAGACCCTGCTGCAGGGTTAAGGGCTCCCTTTAACATGGATGGACATCACGCGTACTGGGACATGGAGACTTGACTCGTGTCCTGATTCAACTACCCATCAGCTTGAGGGACCCTGGGCGGGTCATTAACCTCTCTGTCCTTTCCGTTTCTTCTGTGGCAATCTGCTACCACACGAGGGGGTGAAATAGTCATTCTTACTGTGTGCAGCATGCCCTGGCATGGATATCAAAGGCTACACTCAGGGAAATGGTCACCCTGCCCTCCCCAATTGGCAGCTGGTAACTGGGACCCATCCACTCTCCAATTCAAGAATCAAATCCTCTAGAAACTGGCATACGGGGCAGGGGGGAAGTGAGAGGCCACAGAGCCAATGTATTCATAGCAGGAAATTCATCCCTCCCACCTTTGTCATCAACAGCAACAGTTTTCAATGGCAGGCAGCCTGTGCAGCTGCTCAGGGCTTTGTCTCCAGAAGCAGATAACTTGCAGGTTTCAGGAAGTGCCTCTGTCCTTTGTTACCTGTATGAACTTGGGGAGCTGTTGAACACCTCCTGGCTGTGACCTCATCTCTAAAGGGGATGCTACAGACCCTGCCTGCCAGGCTGCAGTAAGGATTAAGTGATACAGATAATGTATGCACGGCACTTAGCCCAGCTAGGCGCCCATCACTCTGAGATCACTGATGGACAGACTCCTCCCTGCAC